GGCCAATGCTCGACTCGGCTCGACTCGTTTGCAGCCCTAACCCCATCCACTAACCATAATATCACTCTCTCACACTCACACACAAAATACACACTAACAATCTGACTCATGCACCACTCACCTACCGTCGCTGGCTTCTGCCCGCCGCCGCCACCACAACGATCAACCCATCATAACAACTACTTCATACATCGGCGACCTTCTCCCGACCGGACGGTGGTGGCGTAGCCCGACTGCCATGGCAATGCAGCCGTCGCACTCGACTTCGACGTCGACAAACCCCATCACAACGAGTACATTAGCTACGGCACCCGTCCGACGAATGTTGCACGCCAGACCAACGTGGCCTACAACCAACAGACAACACCCTACTAGTTTTTTCTATTGACTATTGTGCATTCTGACAATGTGCAGTTCGTCTAACACTATGGTGCACAATATCGGTCAGTATTGTGCAGATTGAACCGACCAAACTTTTGTCCCAAATCGAACGAAACTAAACAGACTCACTTGGTTTATTCGATCGGTTAACATGATTATCGTAAAAATTTGAAATAACTTGTTACTTATATTAAAATTATCGTAAAATTAATAATTTGAAATAATTTGTTACTTATATTAAAACTAAAAAGACTCACTTGGTTTATTATTTTTATATCATTATTTGGTTGATCAAAAGAATATACGAAATACCGAAAACGATAAAGTGCAAGCACACAAACACAAATGCGCATCAAGTATAACATTATTGTGTAGTCTATTAAACTAGTATTTTTTATGTGCATTTAAATTTTAGAAAATTTTAATAATGAGTATTTTAATTAATATTATAGTTTATAAAATTATTCATATAATAAAAATATATTTACTATTTATAGTTTTTTATGTGATATTTTATATTATTTTTTGTTGACAATAATTAATATAAATATTGATCAAATATAAATAATATTTTTTATATATATAGTTCGGTTGGTTTTATTATTTATTCATTTTAATAATATATTCAAAATTAGACTGAAATAACTAAGACATTAATATTTGTTAAAATGCACATTGTTATGTTGATGCGCATTCTCGAACGAATTAGTGTGCTTTCGATCTGACACTATTTTGCATTTCGATTTCACTGTTGTGCTACATCTCGTTTAAAACTATTATGCATCCTCGATATTGATTTTTTCATGTGCAAACCCAAACTAACAATGAACCTAGTTAACTGAATGGGGAAAGTCCATTGTAGGACCTGATTTTTGGGTATTGTGTCATAATAGGGCATATATTTTTAACTTTTTCACTTGAGGGTTTTATTTTTAAACTATTCTTAATATAAGACCTATTTTTACATTCTACTTTTTAATTTAAGACTCCAAATTACTTTGTATTTTAACATAATTATGTAACCAATAATACTTTTTTTAAAATTTATTTTTTAAGTACATATAATAAAAAAAGTAGTAAATATCTTAGTAAAATTACCTAAAAAATAATTATTTCATAATTTACATTTATACAAAATCTTAATGAAACTTATTTTAGAAGTTAAAAAATAAAAATTTAACTTAATTTTAATCTAAATATGTGATAAATCTAAAAAATAAACTATTTAGAAAAATAAATTAATGTATTTTACTAAAGACATATATAATTATCTAAAATATAAATATTAAAATAAAAGTATTTGGTTTAAATATTAATTTAAAAACATGAAGTTAGTTGGGGCCTTAAAGTGAAATTAGAATGTAAAAGTAAGTCTTTTATTGAGAATAACTTAAAATTCAAACCATAAAATGAAAAAAGTTAAAAATTCAAACCTTATTGTGACACAATAACAAAAAGTCAAGCCCTACAATAAAATTTCCCCTTAATGAATTTACCTAAATAGTCGAAACAAATTATTATTTATATTATTTAAAATCATTTATTATTTTATATTATGATCATATTATTATTATTTTATATTATTTTATTATTATTTATTGTTTTAATATATGTGTATAAAACAACAAATGAAAATAATATATTTGTGGTAATTTATATAAATTATATTTTGGTACATGGATTGAATTAAAAGTTAATAGAATTCCAAAAACTACATATTAAACCCAAGTATTAAAGTGTAATATAATCAAAATTACAGTAATTTCATATAGGCCCCTTGAATTGATCTAATTTCTAATATTAAATCTTTAGGATAAAAACTTAGGTGTCATCCAAGCCACCTCTCCCGTCGCCGCCGTCCCGACCACCGGAGAGTCGCCGATCGAAGCCACCATGTACAGCCGTCGTTCTGGCAGTCACAACACTGGAGAAAAAAATGGCGTACGCCATGGTTGTGGATGAGCTAATCGGGGCTTTCACGTTCGACCACCGTGATTGTTTGTCTTCCGACAGTCTG